GGTATGTATTTCTGGGGAAGGGAAGAAGTAACTATTGCAAGTGTCCCTGTGGTTGTGGTGAAAGCTCCTTCAAAGAAAAAGGGGGGAAAGTAAGTATTATAGAATGCTACTTTTATTCTGTGTGACTGGATTTTTCACTTGTAGCTAGAAAAAAAAATACTACTAATCTTGTTCCTTCAAGGGAACAGTGCCTTCTTTTCTATGATATAGCATCTGTTTAATTAGAGGCTCAAATGGCTTTAAATTATGAAGAGAAATAAATAACCTGAAAGGTGTCCTGTTCCTTCGGGCAACTGCATTCAAGGTGGGCTTATTTGGTGCATGCAATAGAGAAGATTGTGCTTAGGTATGAAAGAGTAGGATAAGGCTGATCAAAAGGATGCAGACTACTTAAGGGCACAGTCCTAGGGATACTGTGATAATGTGCTTCCCCCCCTGCCTTGCTAAATGTATTTAGAATGAGAACCAACACAGAGAATCTGATGTTTCTGTTTGATCAGACTTTTGTGCAAAGAACGCTTGTTTCATGTCTAGAGAAAGGAAACTGTGATGATCCTCCTTACACTCAGAACAAAGCAGGAGAAACTTGATGTTGAGGGGGAAAAAAAAATCCACTGAGTAAGGGTGAGAAATAAGACTTACTAATTATTGGCAAAACCACGCCAGATTCTGACTACACTGGCATGCCATCATTCATTAAATCCTCCTGCTTTTTACTGCTCTAACTATGATTAGAAATAGGCCCAACCACTCCGTGTTTTTCAGTACCCACAGTTGTGTGTGGGTTTTTTTTATCATGAGGTTATATTTAGATGCCCATCGATGTTATTTTTCATCCTGAGTGCTTTTGGGAGGGTGAACAGCTGATCATTACACTGAGTTTGCTTGTACCCATGAGCACACTTAACCTAGAGCAGCAAATAGTTATTGTATTGCATTTTGTTTTGTGCCGGTGGGCACACTTAAGTCAATATACATGATGGCTAGTACCACGGTATTGCATTTGTCTACACCCATGGGCACTCCGAATTGCCAGTGTGAGGGAATTGGTGAATTAACTAGCTGTATGCCCACTGGTGTAGTTACTTCAAGAGCAATACTACTGTTAATTGCTTAACTTAAATCTAATCATAACGCAAAATAACAGAAGGAAAGTGCTGCAAGAATCCCAGTTCTTACAGAAAATGGATAGTAACATTTGTTTAATTTTAAGCTTGTTTGTTGCCAAAACTGAAGAACAAGCTCTGGGGCAGAAGTCTCTGTTATGAATAATTGCCCTTCTTTCCCCGTCTGTATTACAGCCAGCAAGCTGCATCGAGCTCATTGCTCTTTCCAAGCCTTTACCTGCATAAAATCTAGTTCAGGGTTGATGCTTACTCTGCTCATTAGTGAAATTACCACCAGATGCTTTGTTAGATAGAGGTCACTCTGGCTGAATGCCATGACAACCTCTTCAAATAGCGTGATTGCTAAACTATAGCTTTGACTTGAAATGGTGCAGTAGGTAATGTTGACACGCTGCGATTACCGCTCAGTCCTTGCAGCATGTTCAAACAACGCTGACTACCTCAGTGCTGACTTGGCAACACCAGAACTGGATTTGGGATGTATATTGTGGATGACTAGAAAATGTAGGAATTTCAGGAGAACACCTACACGGAGCATTAGCTTATCTTGTTAGCCTGTGTCTAGTCAGGTTCTCTCAGAACTCTGTTGAAAAATGGTAATTAAATGGTAAGGCTGAGTCTAAAGTTACATGGGCATAGATGGGCTAGGTTTCAGTGATGCTAGGAGCAACTGAAGAAATTTTAAGTGGGACTCTTAAATACTCAGCAGAATACATTAATGCATGGGACTGGATTAGCCTTTCCTAGCAGTAAGGAAATCCTTCCAAAGACTTACTTTTACTTCTTTTTAGGAGACCAGCGCAAGGAAGGCCAAGGTGGATGGGCACTGGGAACATGGCCCATGTGTGGCCTGGATGAGTGTCACAGAGGAACAGATGAGGAGAAAGGAGGGAGAAGAAGGTATTAGAACTGTTTTCCTTATAATAGCATGGTCTAGTCTGCTGGTCAAGTCACAGAGCTGAGCTAATTAAAGTTCTGGTGTGCACTTTTTTTTTTGCTATGACGATGGCAGGCAGGACTTCACAGCTCTGCTAATGACAACCCTATGTGGCTTCATGTTCACATATATTTTGTAATGAAAACTGATTGTATTACAGATATCTCTGGTGTGACTTGCAACTAATGTGCCTGTAACTGATAGACCAGATAAGCTTATTATTAAAGTATCAGAATAAACTAACTTGAAGATGTGGAATGGCAATTATCTGGATACACAATGATTGACTAAAACTGTAGAAGAGTTACTAATCTATAGTTTTATAGTATTATCACTGCAAACTAAAAAAAAAAAACAAAACTGTTTATCTAGAGGGTTATGCTACTGAAAGCAGATGATTAACCTTATAAATGGAACCAGACCAGGTGGAAAACACCATGTTCCTGTCACTGTTGTTGTTCTCTTCTTTGTGGTTCTTTGCACACAGACTTGTGTAAGGCACATGAGCAGAGAAGGCTCAGCACAATAGCCTTGCCAGCAGGCCTTCCTGTGACTGCAGCTTAGGAAAACATATGTAGAGGCGCTCTTTGACACATAGTTTTTGGGCTTTTTTAAGAGTCAGAAAAGTGGCAGCAAGAACACAAGTGTTCCTTAGCCACACCGGCTTTGGAGTTCAGAAATTTGTAATGCTGTATAATGAGATTTAACCATTAGTCTTTCCCTTAAGTAAGGGGAGATTGGGCCTAGAGAGGATTAAGCCGTGTTATAGCAAACACTTACTACATATTAAAGGGCAGGGCTAGAACTACTAGCTTTTAACTTCCACTACAAAGTTGTTTTATACAAGGTCAGAGCAGGGCAGTAAGTGGGGGAGAGGAAAAAAACCACCCAAACATCTGGAAGAATTAATGAAGACGTTAATTCTGGGTGATGAACCAGTTGTTGGGAGAGGGTGTCAGGCTAAGATACTAAATTTGATATACAGAACTGAGCTGCCATGAAACTGCCTGCATTAGTCAGCCTGGTTAACCTTGTTCTTCCCCAAATCCTCGGGGAATGCCTGCAGGAAATCTGCAGATGGAGGCATGTTGGATCAACCCTTCCTATCAAGCACAGAATGATGCTGTTCAAGTGGTAACATGCTTCAGCCGGCATCGCCCATTCATGTCTCTTTGGCAAGGGGGTTTGCCTCCTCGCTAATGTTACAGATAACCTTAAACGCAGGCACTTCCAGGCTGATGCTCAGATACTGCAGCAATTGCCATACTTGGTATCTCTTAATGGTATGTTCTGTGGAAAAGGGATCTTAAAGTGCACGTGGTGTCTCCTGCCCAACTGAAAGAGCTCTTGGGACCCCCAAGATTGTAAGATTGTTCACAGCAGGCTTCTCTTTAGTGGTGGGGACCCCTCAGCCTCCCTGAATAAACTACTTCATGGTTAGGACTGGTAAGAAAGAGT